GAAGTTGTTAATGCTAAAGTGTTAAGAGATGGGAGATTGTTGGTGTGCTGTAAGGACATGGTGCAGAGGGAGAAAGCTATTGGAGTGAAGCAAATGGGGAAGTGTAAGGTGGAGCCGAGCAGCTGGACTGATCAAGCAGTGGAGTAAAGGGCTGATAACAGGAGTGCCTGTGAGTGTTAGCACTAAAGAGGTAAGGGAAAATTTGAGAGGAGGCGTTCTAGTGAATGTACACAGATTGCAAGCAACAAGGGGTGGAGATAGGGTAGTTAGCATGTCTATTCTGTTACATTTTAAGGACCGGGTACTGCCAAATAAGTTAACAATAGGATATATGAGTTATTATGTGAGGGCTTATGTACCGAAGCCTTTAAGATGTTATAAATGCCAGAGATTTGGGCATGTGGCAACAGTCTGTAAAGAGAAAAAGAGGTGTGCCAGGTGTGGAGGAGAGCATGAGTATGGGAATTGTGGAGATGGTGTACAACCAAAGTGCTGCAACTGTGGGGGTGCTCATAGTGTGGCATATGGTGGGTGTGAGGCTATGAAGAAGGCAGTGGAGGTGCAACAAGTGAGAGTGGAGAGAAGGGTGTCATATGCTGAGGCAGTGAGGGTGGTCCAGTAGAGAAGGGTGTCATATGCTGAGGCAGTGAGGGTGGTCCAGGAGAGAAGGGTGTCATATGCTGAGGCAGTGAGGGTGGTCCAGTAGAGAAGGGTGTCATATGCTGAGGCAGTGAGGGTGGTCCAGGAGAGAAGGGTGTCATATGCTGAGGCAGTGAGTGTGGTCCAGGTCCAGGGAGATACAGGTTCAAGGGAGAGATGGGTAGGAGCATCTAGACCGGGGATTACGGGGCAGGTGGGCAGCGAATGGTATACATAGAAAAGAGAAAGCTGGTGACGTTCATAGCAGGAGCTATCAATAGCACTGGTAAAGGAGGGTCTAAAACGGAGAGGATTAAACTAATAGTGAAAGCAGCTGGGAGACATCTGAGTATGACAGGGTTGACATGGGAAAAGGTTCGAGATGACCTCAATCAGCCGATGGATGGAAATGGAAGGAAATGGCCAAGTGATGGAAATTTGATAGAAAAGAAAGATCCGGTGTGCCTGAATGATGGCCGAGGGACCAGGATTGATGTAGCCACAGGAAAAGGGTCTGCCTTGGACCTCACTCTGGTATCTAGTGCCATGGCAGGAATATGTGAGTGGGAGGTATGGGAGGACTACAGAAAGATAGGTAGGGGGTTGATCCAGCTGATTTCTTTGAGACGTCTGGAAACTGTGTATTAGGATTTTGTGGCCATTTACACAGATGGTTCAAAAGATCTAAGGACAGGACGTACTGGGTCAGCATTTGTAGTGCAGGAGTGTGGGGTGGAAGTCAGGAAACGTATTACAGATCATCTGGCTGTATATACGGCGGAGCTGATGGCCATGCTGTTGGCCTTGCAGTGGGTGGAGGAAGTTAAGCCAGACAGAATAGTTATTTGCTCTGACTCATGTGCAGTGTTACTGAGTCTCCAGTCCTTTAGCTCACGTAGCAGACAAGACCTGCTTTATGGCAGGATTAAACAGATGGGTATTCAGATAAGATTTACTTGGGTTCCACCCCATGTGGGGGTGGAGGGGAACGAGGCATTAGATGAACAGGCTAAACAAGCACTTAGTAGTGGGGATGTTGATGTTGAAGTGTCAATGAGCAAGGCAGAGGCAAAAAGACTGATATATACAGTGGGGGCAAAAAAGTATTTAGTCAGCCACCAATTGTGGAAAGTTCTCCCACTTAAAAAGATGAGAGAGGCCCGTAATTTTCATCATAGGTACACGTCAACTATGAAAGACAAAATGAGAAAAAAAAATCCAGAAAATCACATTATAGGATTTTTAATGAATTTATTTGCAAATTATGGTGGAAAATAAGTATTTGGTCAATAACAAAAGTTTTGTCAATACTTTGTTATATACCCTTTGTTGGCAATGACACAGGTCAAACGTTTTCTGTAAGTCTTCACAAGGTTTTCACACACTGTTGCTGGTATTTTGTCCCATTCCTCCATGCAGATCTCCTCTAGAGCAGTGATGTTTTGGGGCTGTCGCTGGGCAACACGGACTTTCAACTCCCTCCAAAGATTTTGTATGGGGTTGAGATCTGGAGACTGGCTAGGCCACTCCAGGACCTTGAAATGCTTCTTACGAAGCCACTCCTTCGTTGCCCGGGCGGTGTGTTTGGGATCATTGTCATGCTGAAAGACCCAGCCACGTTTCATCTTCAATGCCCTTGCTGATGGAAGGAGGTTTTCACTCAAAATCTCACGATACATGGCCCCATTCATTCTTTCCTTTACACAGATCAGTCGTCCTGGTCCCTTTGCAGAAAAACAGCCCCAAAGCATGATGTTTCCACCCCCATGCTTCACAGTAGGTATGGTGTTCTTTGGATGCAACTCAGCATTCTTTGTCCTCCAAACACGACGAGTTGAGTTTTTACCAAAAAGTTATATTTTGGTTTCATCTGACCATATGACATTCTCCCAATCCTCTTTTGGATCATCCAAATGCACTCTAGCAAACTTCAGACGGGCCTGGACATGTACTGGCTTAAGCAGGGGGACACGTCTTGCACTGCAGGATTTGAGTCCCTGGCGGCGTAGTGTGTTAGTGATGGTAGGCTTTGTTACTTTGGTCCCAGCTCTCTGCAGGTCATTCACTAGGTCCCCCCGTGTGGTTCTGGGATTTTTGCTCACCGTTCTTGTGATCAATTTGACCCCACGGGGTGAGATCTTGTGTGGAGCCCCAGATCGAGGGAGATTATCAGTGGTCTTGTATGTCTTCCATTTCCTAATAATTGCTCCCACAGTTGATTTCTTCAAACCAAGCTGCTTACCTATTGCAGATTCAGTCTTCCCAGCCTGGTGCAGGTCTACAATTGTGTTTCTGGTGTCCTTTGACAGCTCTTTGGTCTTGGCCATAGTGGAGTTTGGAGTGTGACTGTTTGAGGTTGTGGACAGGTGTCTTTTATACTGATAACAAGTTCAAACAGGTGCCATTAATACAGGTAACGTGTGGAGGACAGAGGAGCCTCTTAAAGAAGAAGTTACAGGTCTGTGAGAGCCAGAAATCTTGCTTGTTTGTTGGTGACCAAATACTTATTTTCCACCATAATTTGCAAATAAATTCATAACAAATCCTACAATGTGATTTTCTGGAGAAAAAAATTCTCAATTTGTCTGTCATAGTTGACGTGTACCTATGATGAAAATTACAGGCCTCTCTCATCTTTTTAAGTGGGAGAACTTGCACAATTGGTGGCTGACTAAATACTTTTTTTCCACACTGTATATGTATATATATATATATATATATATATATATATATATATATATATATATATATATATATATATATATATATATATATATATATATATATATATATATACAGTGATGGTGAAGAGATGGCAGGAGCAGTGGAATAGAGATAATAAGGGAAGGCATTTATTTCAAGTACAGAGGAAAGTCGGGGAGGACGGCAGGAAGGGACAGAAGAGAGGAGGCTATTTTTACAAGATTAAGGGTGGGACACAGCCAGTTGAATAAGACATTAAACGTGATAGGAAAGCATCCATCAGGAAAGTGTGATTATTGTCAGGAAATAGAGACCGTGGAGTACAGTGGCTTGCTACAGTGTGGGCAGTATCAGAGGGAAAGAGAGAGGATGAGATTTAGTATGAGGGAGAAGGGGATACAGGAAATTAGTTTAAAGAGTATATTGAGCAGAACGTCATTAGATATAGTCTCAAATATTTTATATTTTTAAGAGAAACGGGGTTGGCAGGTAGGATTTAGTTTCTCCCTGTCTCTGGCCAACATTCCAGTACGGTAGGTGGTGGTAATGAACCATAATGTTGGATGTCAACCGCCGATAAATCCCACTGAAGAAGAAGAAGAACTAGGAGAGATTACTAGAAACTAACTAGGTTTAGAGAACACACAATTTTGTGAGACTCAAAATGGGTCGATATTCTACAAAGATCCAGCAAAAAAAAAAGGACCTTGTGTTGTTATTTTACCTATAATGTACAATGTTTATATCCCAGGACAAATGAGATAGCAACAGCAAGCTAGCTAGCTAAATGTCCATGAATGTTTCGTGTGTTTCGACCTGTCCCCAAATTAATATAGTTGGTTCAGAGTTTGTTTTGATATTTCAACCTGGTGTCCTGATCGTGTCTGGTGGGGATAGACAAACTCAACATGCGCACAATGGCTTACGCGCAGAGCCGGTTTGGTCATCATGTCAAGGTTGCTCTGATGTCAAAGATTTCAATTCGAAATGTAGTGATATGTAACTTTTCATTTGAAACTATCTACATGTGTCATTCCAAAATTACTTTTTAATTCTGTCATGGAAATGTATTTCCTGTTACAAAGTCATACAGTTTCTATGCCTTTAGTTTTCCATGTGGCCAAATTTATCGGTGAATTCTGAAAAGCTATCCAAGGATTGTTCCATACGGCTGTGTTTTTAGGGAGTGATATTGGTTCTTGTAGAATACGTTTCATTTTCTTTCATATTGTTATAGCGTTCTTAACGATGAAGTTGTTCGTGTTCTTAGCTTTATCCTTTGTAAATAGACAGGTAAATTGATGTACATTCTTTCATGCGTACCTTTGTACCTATATTTGTCCCATGAAACTGCGTTATTTTCTTTGGGTGCTGCAATCCGTAGTTTTTCACAAAAATAGCATTTTACTCGAACTGCACCAAAGGAGCCATTGTTTGTTAACGCAGAAAGAGCAGCCCTGTCATTGCACGCGGTAATTTGACAGCGGTCACGTAGAATTAAGTTTTTATAAAACACTACGGATTGCAGCATCCAAAGAAAATAATGCAGTTACACAGAACAAACATAGGTACAAGGTAGTCATGAAAGAATGGACATTTTTACAAGTATCGACTGATACAGACTCGATGTACTCAACTCCATCTGTCTGTGTACAGAGTTCCACGTTGCAACACCTGTAGCAGCGTACGACCTGAGGAAAGTGGAGCTGACCCCTCTGGAACAGAGGAAACTGACTTTTGACTCTCATGCCATGGTCATTGAGCTGGAGAGCAATGGTGGGTGCATCATTTTGGACTTGATCTGTAATTCTGCTTCTGTGTTGCCTTTTCTGAACCCTATTCTGAAATGTAAGTCACATCCAGACCAGGATAGGCAAATAAAGTGATAATTGATCCACAGTGTAATAAAGAAACTGGACACGGTTGTAATGCTGATTATCAAATATTTTTAACGATTTCGTTATTTTCAGGCTTTGAAAAGCGTCAAGCGGAAATCATAGTAGCAGCTCTGGTGACTCTGACAACAGCCAACATGGACATAGTGTACAAAGACATGGTGACTGGAGCACACCAGGTACCACACACATACCACACTCACAGCAGCCCACTTGCTACCCAAGCTAAAGAAGACCAAGCTATCATTTATACTTGTGACTGCTGGTATGTGTGACAGAGTGTGCTTCAGTTACACCCATGGAATTGCAATACTCTGAACCTTCACCCCAACATTACACCATCTTTCAACCACTCTCTTGTAGGTTGTTCTGTTGTCAGACACCCCCTGTTGTAAGACACCCCCCCCGCCCCCCCTCTCTCTCTCTCTCTCTCTCTCCTGTGTCTCTTGTTTAGGAGATTGCGCTGCAGCAGATCATGGCTCACCTGGACTCCATCAGGAAAGACATGGTGATCCTGGAGAAGAGTGAGTTTGCCAACCTGCGCTCTGAGAACGCTGTACGTACATAAACCCCTTCCTCCTCCACAATCACTGCCTGTCTGTCTCTAGTGATCTCAAAAGTGCACTAGGGATCTGTAATTATGATAACAATAATATATGTATTCTACATAAACCTGTGTATGTCTCTCTGCAGAAAATGAAGACCGAGTTGGATCAGATAAGGAACAGGCTGATGGTGAGAAGTGGTGACGTAGAGATCCTAAAAAAATACTACTATATTATTACTGTATGTTCTATATGTAATTCTATGAGTTATCATTTCATCTGTTTATTGTTAGACTATAACTTATGAATCATGTGATTATTTATCAGTAACCTATGTGGTGCTATCAGATAGCTCAGTGGTTTCTCACTCAGTACGTTATGGGACTTGTATGGGTGCATCCCAAATGGCGCCCTATTCCCTACATAGTGCACTGCTTTTGGGCCCTGGTCAAAAGTAGTGCACTATAAAGAGAATAAGATGCCATTTGGGATACAAACTATAACTTGTGTTTCCTGTTTTGACTTCAGGAAGAGAGTAAGAAGATCAGAGCTGAGGCCAAGCTGGACATCAACCTGGAGAGGAGCAGGGTCACTGACATGGTGAGACCTTGAATTGAATTGACATTCTGCCACATGCTTTCTCTCTTTCTCACTGGGCATCTGTCTCTTTGTTTCTCTATCAGTTCACTGAGCAGGAGAAGAAACTTATGGAGAACAGCACAGAGTTCCACAGGAAGGTATGATATAAACTTCCTAATCATAATGCCATCTTGTCCATGATGATATTTCTACACTCCCACCACATAGGTTGTAACAGCTGCATTTCTTAATGGGGCGGATTCCCAGGAAACAGATTAAGCCTTTTCCATTGAATGCTTTCTAGTCCAGGACAAAGCTTAAACCATGTCTGGGAAACCGGCCATATGATTATAGTAATAGGATTCCCTGTGTTAATGTTCTCCTCAGAACGCAGTCATCGACCACGAAACAATGGAGACGACTAAAAAGATTGATCTAGAGGTGGCCTCTTTGAAAACTCTCCTGGAGTCGCTGAAGCTGGAGACCATCCGCTACCTTGCAGGTACTGTGCGTGTGCGTTTGTATGTCAAATCAAATCAAATGTTATTTGTCACATGCTTCGTAGGCAACAGGTCTAGACAAACAGTGAAATGCTTACTTACGGGTCCTTTTCCAACGATGCAGAGTTAAAGGTGTATGTGTTTGTTTGTTGACATATTTCTGTATATTCAACAATTCTTTGAAATATAGTATGCATTTAAGTGGGATCTGCTTTTCTTTTTGGTAGCGTCCGTTTTCGCCTGCCTAGCGATTGCCTTGGGATTTTACCGACTTTGGAAGTGACCATCTCTGCTGTGGGGGTTTGATTACAATGTACATAGATCCCACTGGGCGCACTCTGGTTGAATCAACGTTGTTTTCATGTAATTTCAATTTCTACTTTTATGTATTTCTACTTTTAAATGGCAATCTACAGTACATGGAGAGCTAAGACTGTAAGGCCAAGCATGACTCATTAAATCAATTAATCAATCAACCTATTAAACAATAAAGTCAATCAGATATTTTGAGCATACCTGTTGAGTGATACAATGTACAATAAACATATTTACAGGCACTATATAGGTCATACAAAATGGCTCAATACTTACAAGAACTGTATTTGGATATGGATTCCACATGACTTGGAAATAAACAACTTTTCTCAATTAACCACATTTATTGAGTCCTTAAATCATTGTCCATTCCTGATTTTCATTTCAGTTCGTCTTAAATTTCCAAGCAGCCGATTGTCTGTTGAATAAATAACAATTCCACCTCCACCATACTCAACAACCTTGACCCACTACACTATAGCCATTGCACTGCACACCGCCCTATCCCACCTGGACAAAATAAATACCTACAGTATGTGAGAATTCTGTTCATCGACTACAACTCAGCTTTTAACACCAAAGTGCCGTCCAAGTTCGTAACTAAGCTCGGAGCCTTGGGTCTGAAGTCCTCCCTGTGCAACTGGATCCTAGATTTCCTGATGGGCCGACCCCAGGTGGTGAGGGTAGGCAACAACACCTCCCCCGTGCTGATCCTCATCACAGGGGCCACCCAGGGGTATGTGCTCAGCCCCCTCCTGTACTACCTGTTCACCGACGACTGCGTGGCCACGCACGACTCCAACACAATCATCAAGTTTGCTGACGACACGACAGTGGTAGGCCCGATTACTAATAACGATGAGACAGCCTACAGGGAGGAGGTTAGAGCCTTGGCGGAGTGGTGCCAGGAAAATAACCCCTCCCTCAACAAAACTAAGGAGCTTATCGTGGACTACAGGAGACAGAAGAGAGAGCATGCCCCCATCCCCATGGTGTAGCTGTCTGAGGCACTGCATCGCAGTGCTTGAGGCGTCACTACAGATCAGGGTTCGATCCCGGGCTGTGTCGCAGGCGGCCGCGACCAGGAGACCCATGAGGTGGCGCACAATTGGCCCAGCGTCGTCTGGGGTTTGGCCGGCCAGGATGTCCTCGTCCCAACTAGCGACTCCTGTGGCAGCCAGGCGCATGCACGCTGACACGGTCGCCAGTTGTACAGTGTTTCCTCCGACACATTGGCGTGGCTGGTTTCCGGGTTAAGCGAGCAGCGTTGGCAGGGTCGTGTTTCGGAGGACACACCAGGGACGTGCTGCCTGACGACCTGGACATCTACAGCACCTGGCGTCAAAGGAAGGTCAAGATCATCATTAAGGACCTCAGCCACCCGATCCACGGCCTGTTCTTCCCACTACCATCTAGAAGGCGGAGACGGTACAGGTGCATCAAAGCTGGGACAGAGACTGAAAAACCGCTTCTATTTCCAGGCCATCAGACTGTTAGTCACCACTAGCTGGCTACCACCCAGTACTCAACCCTGCACCTTAGACTGCTGCCCTATGTAAATAGTCATTGAAAACTGGTCACTTTAATAATGTTTACATACTGTTTTACCCAATTATGTATATACTGTACTCTAGTCAAGGCTCATCCTATATACACTTGATATACTGTATGTCCAAACATTTTACAGTGGGTACATTGCAAAGGTCTGGGAATAAACGCTCTGACAGGGTAGTTCACATATCCCAGCTGCACTCAGATTTGGAGAAACTCATCAAAAAACAAGAACTGACAAACTCTTCTCCTTCCTGCCATTCACCATGCGATTCATTCTACGTGCCTCGACCACTCCATGAATCTTTTGCATTTGAGCAATGTCGAATTCTTCAGTACTCCAGAAATGATTCCTTTGACAGGTGCCCTGCTTCGTAGATCAAAGCACGACACATCATATCCATCAGTTTGCGTGAGATCCAACGCGTTTCTTCTGATAAACAGATACACAAGAAATTCCACTTCTTGTGATTTTCACAGATTTAACTTTATCCACCAGTTTTGATATTTCAAACGGATCCACGAAGTTGGGCATATCTTGTTTACCCCAAAAAACATATTCCTACTAGATACAATGGGGTGTCTGCAGAAGTAGATGTATTTTTCACAACAATTTTGCTTATTTTTCCATTATTTTGGACAAAAGTCATTCATCCTTATTTCCACCGCCATCAGCTTCAAGCTCCAATTCTGCTTCCACCATCGACCTGACTTCAGCTGAGCTTTTGTGACGTTGTCAACTAACATGCTGACCAAACCGGCTGCGTTGCAAAATAAATTTACACATACATGTTATTCAATCATTTCATCCAAACTGCTCACGCGTCTAAATAGCTTGCTGCATGTCCTGCCTCTCCCATCTCCTTATTGGTTTTTACAAGTATATACCAAAATATTTTTATAACTAACCCAAGACAGACCAGAACCTGTCGTTTTCAATGGGAGCAAATTAATCATAGTGGGCAGAACAAGCAAGTAGGTGGGCAGAGCCAAGCACGAGCTAGTGAGATCATATTGGCTCCTTCTAGCATTTACTTGCTTATTTCCGTTAGGGAACGTCTACTCTATGAAGTGCTCGTGTGCAATAACTCAATTCGCCCTTGCACTCCTTCTAAACAATGCAGATTTTGGCAAAGGGTAAAGTATTCTAAATGCAGCCCACTCTGTTTGTTACATATTTTAGTTTTGTAAAGAGATAACTGTATGGAGATCAAATGTTTGATCAATGAGAAAATGTGCAGAATCTAGGCCAAAATCTATCTCGCTCCATCTTCTCCCACTGCCGGCCACTGGGCTTCCTCTCATCACCATATTTGGTAGTAAGTGGAAACGCCAACCGGATGCTTCACGTTTATACATCTGGTGAAATATCTGGCTCATTGTTCTATCTGTGATATAGCCACGTGGGTGATTGAAAGATGAATGAGGTCCACACTCCAGTCCAGTTGATGGCAGTAATGCAGCTTCAAGTTGGTTGCCAACTGCCATATAAAATCCACAAAAGAAGAAGACTAAGAAGAAAGATGAATGAGGAGAGATTAATCAAACAAAAAATAACTAGGTTTCCCGTTTTTATCTGTGAATTAATTGTGGAGTAGAGAACACATGATTTTGTATGATTCAAATAAAATTTGATTTGATTCAAAATGGGTCAAATTCTACAAAGATCCCGCTACAAAAATGACCATATGCATTTCAGGTGAAATAACAACCCAATGTTCATCTCCCAGGACAAATTAGCTAGCTAAATATCCATGAATGTTTAATGTGTGTTTCGACCTGTCCCCAAAATAATATAGTTGGTTTTGGTACTTCAACCTGCGTGTCATGGACAGTTCTGGTGGGGATAGACAAAATCAACATGCGCACGCGAGAAGGCGATTTGGTCAGCATGTAACCCGTCTATTATGCAATGCATTCGACTATGATTGGCTAACCGGAGTTATCGTTTACATTTTGACCAATTAGGTTGAAGGAATGACTCGTTCTCAAAAAGATCACGCGCACGCAACTCAAACTAGCCAATAGGAGGACACCAACTGAGGCTGTATAAACGCTATTTTGTATGACGCGTTTAGTTGATCGAGTTGCAGCCGCCATCTTATGACATAAAAAAGAAGAGTGGAAACGTCGATTACAGATGTAAAGGGAATACTAAGTAATTCGTAACGAGTTGGAAAATAAATATAAAGCCAAATGTGTTTATGGACTCCCTCGTAATAAATGGTTATGTTTCTGATAAGATTGGTTTAGTATTTGACCGATCACACATCGCAAAGATGGACGACGCGGCGAGGGAAGATGCCTGCCGAGAGTATCAGTCCTCCCTCGAAGATTTGACATTCAACAGTAAACCTCACATCAACATGCTGACCATTCTGGCAGAGGAGAATCTGCACTTCGCCAAGGATATCGTCGCAATAATTGAAGCACAAATCACCAAGGTTTTTATGAATATAGAATTTTCAATTTCAGCTATTAACTTCGACGAAGAAAGGGCCTGTGTAAGCTAACGGTAGCCTTGAAACAGCTGCCCATGGCAACATCATGGCGGCAACACTGTTAAATCGCTGTTCTTGTTGTAGCGACGTAACGTTGGCTAACGTTTCTTGTCAACAGTACCAGTTTCGTTTCAGCAAAAGGTTACCGTTATAACAATTAATTTCATGCTGATTACATTTATAATGGTAATGTAACATTAGCTAACGGCTAGCTAACGTTATCCACTGAGTTAGCTAGCTAACATGTCATTTCGGAAAGCCGATTGAGTCGTTTGCTACCAACTAATTCAGAAATTCAGTCGCCAGATCAGAGTAACGTTAGGAAGTCACCCTTATTTGTTAGATCTTATATAAATAAATATAGGTTTTATGCTGTGGGATATTTTTCACAGTTCAGAACTTAACGTTATTTGGAAAAACGTTACCGAAACCGAATCCAATATGGCGACATGACGGAGGAAACTTATGTTGGCTATTTCAGTTAGCTAACGCTAGCATGCCATGCCAATGCATTCCACAAGTTTGACAGGTTTGCACACGTGATTTGGCCACATCAATTGCCAAATTTAAACCAGTACACACTGGCCTACCAAACAATACAAACTAATGAAAGTATTATCTAGTTATTGCATTAATTTTGGCCTTGTTTCACTTTCTACATACAATTTACTTGAACCAGAATCTGGGTTTACAGGAGACGTTGAATAAGGCGATTCTCCTTGAAGCCCAGGAAGCAGTACTTCAATTTAACGTTCACCAGCTTTTCAAGTTTAATAATGTCAAAATACGTCCGGTACTTACCAAAGAATGGAGTTTCGCTGAGCAACTATTGTCATCAATGCCGTACTTCCAAAAAGTTGCAAATAAAAATGTAAATGTAACCAAAAAAATGTGTCGTCTGGAAAGAAACTATTGTTTTGACAAAGTGCACATGAGCCAAATCCACCTCTAATAAAATCACTAATTACTGCCATGCACAGGTCGGCTGATCCAGTAGCAGCAAAGGTCATTTACTTGTAACTTAAGGCGGCCTACAGGCCTAACGTTACTGCTTGTTAGTTATTGCTAGACAAAAGTATCTAGCTAGGTAGCTAAAGTAATAATAACAAAATAAATCATCGTTATAGACATATGCAGACCAAATATATGTAGCTGTTGCAATTTAGAATAGTGTCAATCGTTTTCATGTGACAGTTCACTGGTCTCTTTCAATTTGACTTATCAGCTGCTTTTGGTATTATCTATTTGAATTTTGAAATGTCAATGAATGGTAAAATGTGATAATAAAAAATATGAAATATGCTTTTTGTCTTTTTTATTTCCCAGTGTAATTTATTGGTACAGAATCAGATCTCAGGTTATTGCCTGATTGGTGTTAAACTCAGTTTTTGATCAATGTGATGATCATTGTCACTTATCAGAAGGCATTGCCCATTTACATGTGAATATCTATTGGCTTAAATGCAGTATATTTGCATAGTTGGAGTTATTTTGTGTTTTATTGAGATGTGAATTGGGTTTACTACTGAAATTGTCATGTTTACTCATGACCACTTATCAAGTTCAGTCCTAGTTATTTGGTTTTCATGGCATATATTGTTCAAGACTTTCAACTTGCAATTGCACATTTTAAATGAAACCCCCCAAAATCCTGCTCTATTCTTGTCGACTTCCTCTTAGTATGTTATATCCTGTTTTTGTTCTAAAAGGGTGATAATGCTTCTTCAAATGGACTGCCCCTCAGAGGGATGATATATCAGTGACTTCATTCAATAAAACGGTAATGGTACATGGAGTGATCTCTCTGCCAGAGACACTCTTTGGAGGTAATAAAAAACAAAAACAAAAAAACTTTATTCATTTCTGCTGGATGGACAAAATTTTTTTTTTCCTGCTCCCAATACAAGACACCAAAGTAATAGTTGAACAAAATACTTTTTATGGACATTGAATGTTTTTGATCCAGAATGAAGACACTTCACTATTTGGGTTTTGTTTTTTCTGGGGGAGGGGGGAATTGGCTTTTTCCTTATGGATTTTTTTGAATACACCCTGTTACTGTAACTATGTTCCTGTAAATGGTGCATTGCACAACACTTCATGTGACATAGACAGATTCAAAAAAATATATATAACACCCCCCCCCCCCCCCCCACATGACAACCGTTTTGCAACTGCTTTTCCAAACAAAACATTTTTTTCTGAGCTATCATGCCATGGACAATGGATTGATTTTTTAAAAACTTTTTGTAAAACTTTTTTTACAATTATTATTACCCAAGACTGACAAGGATATTTTCCCAGCCCAAACACTTCTTACGCGTTCTTTTTGCTTAACTAATACATAATGAATGTGATGCCTTATTCATTTCTGAAATGTTGGTGTTAACCCCTGTTGTTTTCTAAACTTGTTGAGTTTTCTATTACCCTAGGCTCCAGCTGCCGAGAAGCTTCCAGTTTTGTACTTAGTGGATTCCATAGTGAAGAATGTTGGAGGCGAATACCTTGCAGTGTTTGCTAAAAACCTAGTCACTTCATTTATATGTGTTTTTGAAAAGGTATATACTACTTTATATTTTTGTGCATTCTTGAAGATTAATAAGCACCTTTTATAAAATTAGCTGACCACTGTACTGCTTGCTTTTAATGTGTAGTCTTTTCTATCTCTTGTCTTGTATAATGAATTTTTACTAATAAAATGGTGTTTGTGGTTCCCCTTTGATTTGGGGAAGTGCTTGATTGAAAAATATCCAAGTCATTAATTGTTTTTATAGTAAAATGCAGTGTGGTATACAGAATATGTAATATTTCACTGTTTTCATAACGGTTGATACACCTTCGTTAGTGTTTGGAAGTATAATTAGACACATTCTCCAAGTGTCTTCTTGATCTTGCCTGAATTGAATGTACTGCTAAACTACAGGCCTTTGAAGACAGAATGTGTTTGTGAAGTGCTGTGTACTCTGCTGCAGGACTTTGAGTTGAGCTGTGGTCCAAGCTGTGTCCTCTGTTTTGTAGGTGGATGAGAACACTAGGAAAAGTCTGTTCAAATTACGCTCCACCTGGGATGAGATCTTCCCGCTGAAGAAACTCTACGCTCTTGACTTGCGAGTCAACTCTCACGACACGGCCTGGCCCATCAAAGCACTGCCACCTACTGTGAATGCCAGCATTCATGTCAACCCTAAGTTTTTAAAACATGTGAGTAAAGTGTCTGTATATCTGTATGTGTGTCCAGGAAGAGGATCTGCTGTTCTAAAAGTGTATCTGTGGATAGAGGAAAGTGGGGGGGGAAAAAAAATATATATATATATATATAACCTTCATGACAGTATGATCTATAAAGTTAAAGACATCCTGACCCTTTGCAACACTGGACATTTCTACACACACACACACACTCTGCTACCTATGGACTTGAGTCCTTCCCATCCCTGAATGTTTTCTCTCCCCGCTCCAGCCTGAGGAGGTGACTTCCCCTAGGGCCCTGTCCCCCGCGCCCGTAGTCCGCGCCCCGGCCCCCGATCCCCAGCCTGCAGTGGTCCCCAGTGTCAGCGAGAAGAGCATCACCCAGGAGCAGGTCATCAGGCAGCAGCTGCTGGCCAAGCAGAAACAGCTACTGGAGCTACAACAGAAGAAGATTGAGCTTGAGCTGGAGCAGACCAAAGCACAACTGGTGAGACTCACTATTGTACCGATTTTCCTCCTTTTGAAAATCTATTAATTTAAATAAAACAAATTAGGTCTGGTCCTCACGGAGCGGGGTGAGTGTAGAAACGTTTTTGTTATTTTCTTATTGTCTCTTATACTAAACACAAGATGTTCTCAGTCCTGCCCCTCTTTTACATTTCAGGCTGCAAATGTGGTGCTGTCAACTCCAGCAATAGTGCCAAAGGCCACCCTGCCTGTCTCCGACCCCAAACCCCCCACCAGGGACCCCCGCCTCAACCGGGCCGGCCCAGGGGCCCCCCAGGCCAAAGAATCAACCAGCCATAAGAAAGACGGCCACGGTATGGGAGGACCAGCACACACACCAGAGAAACAGCTGCCAGAGCGACCCGGCAGGCCAGAGAAGACACGGCCCCCCAAGAAGGAGCTTCTAGAAGTGAAAGCCAAGTCCAAGTCCCTCTCTCCCATGGCTAAAGGGGTGCTTGGGAAGAGCAAGCACTATGAGGCTGAGAACGTGAAGACAGCGGATGCCACGGGCAAGAAAGACCCCAGGCTGAGGAAACAACTCCATGACAAGGCCGACCCGAAAGAAGAGGTGAAGGAGAAGAAGAAATGCACTGAGAAGGAAAAGGAGATGGATGAGGCTGTGATGAAGGCGTCAGGCAGGGGGAAGATGGCCAATGGCTCAGTCAGCAAACCGGAGCGTGAGAAACCAGAGCCTGTAGAGAAACCGGAGAACCAGATCAGAGGGAATGCCAGGACCAACGCCAGGAAACGCTCCCGTTCCCCCTCGCTGCACCTGCACTCACCTAAGAGGAAGACGGAGAGGAGGTCCCCCAAGAGGAGAGCCAGGAGCATCTCCCCCTCTCCTCCTTTACACAAACCTGGGAAAGGAGGGAGGCAGTCAGGAGGCAAACACTCCTCTCACCATGAGGACTTCCCCCAGCACGGGACCACCAGAGAAGAGAGGGTAACCCCCAAGAAGAGCTCGTCTGAGCCCAGGAGAGCCAAGAGGCCGGCTGAGGAGAGGCCGGCGGAGGCCAGGGACACGCACTCCTCCCCCCGCACTCCGTCCTCCCCCCGCACTACCTCAGAGGGCAAGGAGACCAAGGAGAATGCCAAGCGCTGGAGGAGTGGGTGGGAAGAGAACAAACAGTGAGTAGACTGATACATCCTGTGAACTATGTGCCTTCTTATCCTATCCTAATGGTATTTACAGTGCCGTGAAAGTATTTGCGCCCTTTCTAATTTTCTCTACTTCTGCATATTTTGGATACTGAATGTTATCAGATCTTCAACCAAAACCTAATACTAGATAAAGGGAACCTGAGTGAACAAATAACACAACAATTACATACTTATTTCATTTATTTCATAAACAAAGTTAGGCAATATCCTATGCCCCTGTGTGAAAAAGTAATTGCCCCCTCACACTCAATAACTGGTTTTGCCACCTTTAGCTGCAATGACTCCAATCAAACGCTTCCTGTAGTTGTAGATCAGTCTCTCATATCGCTGTGGTGGGTTTTTGGTCCACTCTTGCATGTAGAACTGCTTTAACTCAGCTACATTTGTGGGTTTTCAAATATGAACTGTTCGTTTCAAGTCCTAACACAACATATATAATAAAAAATAAATAAAAATAATAAAAACATATCAATTGGGATTAGGTCAGACTTTGACTAGGCCATTCCAAAACTTCCAATTTGTTGCTTTTTAGACCTAACCTAATATTAGGTTTTGGTTAAAGGTCTAACATTCAGTATAAAAAAAATATGCAAAAATAGAGAATCATAAAGGGTGCAAATACTTTTTCACAGCACTGTATCTGCCTCTGAACCTCAGAAACATAGTCAGCCCCTTATCTGGTGGTGTTAGGTTAGGGTGTGTACCTGTATGATCTGGGACTAGGTGTGTGCTCTCTCCTAACCACTGATCTTACATGTGTCTGCTCATGTATGTGTATTGTTGTACTCACAAGACTGAGGTAACTAAGGGGCAGTTTCTCAGACAGATTGGGCCTAGTCCTGGACTAAAATGTGTGGTCAATGGAGAATCTCTGTGGTCGGGAAACTGCCCCCATGTATTTGAAAGTTGTCAAATAAATTAACAAATTCCTTCATCCTCAGTCTGAAGTTGTCGTCAGAGGAGGCTCATGGGAAGGGGGCAGGTCCTCCACAGAGACGGCAATCATACTCCAGCAGCCAGAGACCTACCACCCCCCGCACCCCCAAACAGCACCGCCTTAGTGTCGACGCAAACCTGCAGATCCCAGAGGCACTTCACTCTGCCAGCAAGAGAGACCTGCTCAAAAAGGTACGCCCTCAAAAAAACATGCTTTTTTTTCTTCCATTTTTTTTTTTAGGTAATAGATGCAGCATTTAATTGTAAAGTATCCAAGGGAGAAGCGCTCAAAAGGTATACCTAAGGCCTCAAAAGTAGTTCACTATATAGGGTGTCATTCTGGACGCAGACATGGAAATATAATTCTGTTATACACATGACATACAATTGAATGGAATTGTAAGAACATCCCCTCAGCCTTTTCCCATCCTCATGTTTTGTGTCGGAAATTATGTTCAGTATTTTTTTGTAGTTAATTGTATCTATTTATCAGGGTGTTTTTTGGTTCAAGTCTTCATTTTAATTAAAATCTTAAATCAGGTCTTAGATTATGTTTTCAAAGGTCTTAAAAATGTGGAGATGACTACAGCGTTTCCATCATTGTGCTGCTGCTTAATTGTTGCCACCGTGGCAAAAATAAACTACCATTATCTGGTCAACATTAATGTTCATTAACCTGCTTCCTGCAATGAAAGTATGTGCCCTGTCTCGCTGCTGGCTCTCACTTCCGCTCCCATGGCGTGAAGGGAGAGATGCATTCTGATAAGCGCAAGCATACTGACATGACAGTTGAGCGACATTTCAAAATGTAATTGCGAGAAAGACCGTTTAAAAAAAACAAAAAAAAAACTACTGTTGCTGTGTGAGGAGTCTCAGCTTAATGTGAGTATAATAATTATTTCTCAACTGTCAATAGACTAAATAACTAACACTTTACAAACAGTGTGTAATTGAGATGACGCGCCAGCGGAGCGAGCCATTTGCATTGAATAGGCCTATATCAAGTAGCCTATATAGGCCTACCAATGGAACGTTTTTGTAGGATTACATTTTACTGTTAGATCAATTTCATGGCCATCTAGCAACACTATCAGATTTAGAGTTAGCAATTTAGATAATGTGTTGAGTTCCCACTTCCTCAGTTGGTAAATTATGTAGCATAGGATCTGTAGACATAGCCTAGGCCAGGGGTATGGAACTAGATTCAGCCGCTGGATGATTTGTCGGAGCGAACAGGAAATCATTTGAATAATTTGTACACTGCCAATTGACTACAACTATGCCCAAAAAGAGATTTGTATTGGAAAATAACAATTTCATACCTTCGTTAGATTGAGACACAATCCTGTTTTTTTTTTTTTTTTTTTTTTTGGGGGGGGGGGGATATTTACATATATATTTCCTCAATTCATTTTTAACTGAATTCCTGGTGATTTTTTTTTTAGTATTTTTGTCCAACACATGCAGGCAAATGTACTATCTAAAGAGCCCAAAAGATATCTGATTGTTCTGGATCCTATTTTGACATCAAAATATCCAGCAATCCCTGAACCTGTTAGATGAAATGGCTCATTTCTTTCATGTCTTACTTGGCACTGGGAAAAAAATCAGCCTAGAACCCTCCCGCTTAACTATCTTGCTTTGAAATATTGCCATTTGATACCTGAATGAGGGAATTATTTTATTATACTTTTTGGTTGTAGGCTAATGTATGTTATGTTATAGCACATAGGTGGGCAAATTTTTTGGCTCAAGGGCCACATTGAGCTTTTGAAACCATGTGAATGGCCACATACTATATATTTGACAAAACATGTGAAGCCTTTGTTCACCTTGACACACAACTACAAATGTACTGTAGGTGTACATATGCTGCTAAGATTGCAGAACCATTGTCACTGTACCATTGCTACCCTTCTAAAGTACAATCAGATTCACAACCCAAAAAATTAAGTACAAAGTTTTGAAATGTGAAAAGAGGTTGAAATGACTGCAGACGTGTATAAATAGGCATACAGTGCCTTCGGAAAGTATTCAGACCCATTGACTTTTTCCACATTTTGTTACGTTACAGCCTTATTCTGAAATGGATAAAAAAAATTATTTAAAAAATCCTCAGCAATCTACCCACAATACCGCATAATGACAAAGCGAAAACTGGTTTTTAGAAATATTAGCAAATGTATTAAAATAAAAAACAGATACCTTTTTATTTACATAAGTATTCAGACCCTTTGCTTTGAGTCTCAAAATTGAGCACGGGTGCATCCTGTTTCCATTGATTTTTCTACAACTTGATTGGAGTCCACCTGTGGTAAATTCCATTGATTGGACATGCACCTGTCTATATAAGGTCCCACAGTTGACAGTGCATGTCAGAGCAAAAACCAAGCTATGAGGTCGAAGGAATTGTCCGTAGAGGTCCGAGACAGGATTGTGTAGAGGCACAGATCTGGGGAAGGGTACCAAAACATTTCTGCAGCATTGAAGGTCCCCAAGAACACAGTGACCTCCATCACAGTGACCTCCATCACTCTTAAATGGAAGAAGTTTGGAACCACCAAGACTCCTCCTAGAGCTGGCCGCCCGGCCAAACTGAGCAATCAGGGGAGAAGGGCCTTGGTCAGGGAGGTGACCATGAACCCGATGGGAGAACATTCCAGAAGGACAACCATCTCTGCAGCACTCAGTTTGCCAAAAGGCACCTAAAGACTATTTTGCCTTAAATGTCAAGCGTCACGTCTGGAAGAAACCTGGCACCATCCCTAATGTGAAGCATGGTGGTGGCAGCATCATGCTGTGGGGATGTTTTTCAGTGGCAGGGACTGGGAGACTAGTCAGGATTGAGGCAAAGATGAAATGAGCAAAGTACAGAGATCCTTGATGAAAACCTGCTCCAGAGCGCTCAGGACCTCAGGCTGGGGTTGAAGGTTCACCCTCCAACAGGACAACAACCCTAAGCACACAGCCAAGACAACGCAGGAGTGGCTTCGGGACAAGTCTCTGAATGTCCTTGAGTGGCCCAGCCAGAGCCCGGACTTGAACCTGATCTAACATCTCTGGAGAGACCTAAAAATAGCTGTGCAGCAACGCTCCCCATCCAACCTGACAGAGCTTGAGTGGATCTGCAGAGAAACTCCCCAAAAACAGGTGTGCCAAGCTTGTAGTGTCATACCTAAAAAGACTCAAGGCTGTAATCGCTGCCAAACATACTTCAACAAAGTACTGAGTAAAGGGTCTGAATACTTATGTAAATGTGATATAAATCTTTTTTTTATATATAAATTGGCAACAATTTCTAAACCTGTTTTTGCTTTGTCATTATGGGGTATTGTGTGAGATTGGTGAGAAAAAAACAACGATTTTATCAATTTTAAAATAAAGCTGTAGCGTAACAAAATGTGGAAAGTCAATGGGTCTGAATACTTTCCGAAGGCACTGTATATGACAGGTATCTGATACAGCACTGTAAAAACCATCTCCACTACTAAAGTACAATCTGAGTGACACAAATAAGAGCAAAAAGCATATTTAAGTTCCTATTGAATGGCCTGTTTGACAGCATATTATGGAAGAGTTCTCACTTCACCTCCACCCTAAAAAATAACATTGAGGCACATATCTAAAACATTTGGCTTCATGATATGAATGGAGATGGTCTATATAAATAGATAGATGAAAGCCGATTTTACTGAACAGTTCTCAAATCATCTCAGCCATATAAAGTACAGTCTGAGCCATTGTAAGTGTTCAATGTCAAATGAATGGGGACAAGGCCAGTATCCAAGTGCATCGCTGGATACTGCTGTAGTTCTCACTTACTACTTTTGCTATGTCTTGTAGTCTTTTTAGATTTAGGGAGCCATCTGTTGTGACGTTGGTCAGTTTACTATACGGTAGATTCATTTTTTTCAAGCAGGCAGACAATGTTGTATTAGTCCGAGCTCCTGGTTGTCCCCATCATCGATTCCATTGCAAGAAGTTCCTCTGTTATTTCAAAGTTATCATTCATTCCTCTGACAAATGTAAAGTTGAGGGGTGTCTTTGGCAGTGCTCTCATCCAGTGCAATAGAAAAAAGATTGAAGCCCTCCATTTTCTTTTTCTGCTTTGAGGTAAGCTCCTCGGAAATCACTTACACACGCCTGTTGCTGGATCGGCATGATAAGCACATTTTTCTCCACAATCCGGACAAAGTGTGTTAGCAGTCTCCACTATAGTCTCACAAACTCCTCCTCTTCAGTGAAAGGCTTGCTTTGCGTTGAAATTTGATGTGCCACTATGTAACTTGCCTTATTTACCGATTCTTGAGTAGAGGACTGTTTGGTAACAATATTTTGTTGGGCTTGCACTTTTAGAGGCCTTGCTAGCCTTCTCCTGGGAGGACAGATTGCTAGCGTAGTTATTAGCATGCTTCCTTCAAAACTGTGATACTTTCTTGGCATATCAGACATATACCGCCTTCTGTCCCACGAAAGTGACAAAGTATTTTGGAGTCCATTCTTGATTGAACACACAACGTTGATTCCACTTTTCTCTTTTGCCGCGCAAATTTTATGTCAACGTTGTCCAGCATGGACAATGAACGTAGATTCGAATTGAGTGTAAGCACCGAGTGACTGTCTGAATGTACGCCTAATACCAGCAGCTACAAGACCATCTGAGTTTTTGTATAGCATGGAAGAAGTACATTTTAGGCCAGAAAACGCAATTGAAATATAAGGACATGTTGGTCATTTTTAAAATGGCTCGCCGGCCAGATTGAAGTGCCTGTACTTTGCCCCCCTCTTATAGCATATTACCTCCAAGAGAACTACTGGGTGTATAGAACAGGGTTTCCGTTAGCTAGTAATTGCCGCCTTTTTATATTATGAGGCATGTCTTACCTTGCTTGAAAATCAGACCATAGAAAGGTGGAGGCAATTATTTTATAAAGACTTTATAGGCAGCGCTTGAGTTTCAAGTTTGGGGAAGCAAACAAATTATCCTACCATTTCTACCGATCTGCGTGTAATTTGCATTTTCATGGAACAGTTTCATTTCAATAACATTTTTGTTTCTCAAAATCATTGTCAGTGGTTAATCATAATCTTAGTTAAAATGATCAATATAAAAGTTAAAATTCCAGTAATGTGAGAGCACCAGCCTCTGCCATATGGACACACTGATATACCATTATCATTGGCGACTAAATGGCCTAAATGAGTGCATGGAACTCAGATATGGCGAATGCAGCCGTTGGCCTATAACTTCCATTGTCAACTAAGTAAAAGTAGCCGACATAACACAGTAGAAAAATATACTGATGATAAATTCCAGCTCTTTCAGTCACATTCATCTCTCTATTCAGCCTGTTTGCTTCCCTTTCTGTCTGTCTTGACTTGAGTTATCCTAGTAAAGTGCAACATTGTATCAACTGGATCTGTCCTGTAGCTGTCTCCAGCGAACATGCAACATTGTATCAACTAGTCTAATGTGGTCCTAGAATTTCCCATGCCATTGAGCTCTGGACAGACATCTGTTTTTGCGCAAGGGAAAGATGTATTTTATGACATTTAAATTGGATATATGTGATCATTAGATGATTATATTTATACTTTCACACAGAGACTTGGTGGTTATCGAGGGGGAGATTGTTGGAAAGATTTAGGCACTATTAGGCCATCATTTGCAATGGATGAAAAAAAGGCTGACTTACTGTGTGAGGTGAAGAAAAAATCACAGAGAAGCTCCATCTATTAGTGGTGGACATGGTGATTTAGACGATCAGGAATCAAACATCCCCAAATGGGCACTAACCTAGACTTCCGCTCAGCAGGCCAGTTAGGCTACTTCTATGCTTGCTCAGGCGCGCATTAGCATAAATGTATGTAACCAAATGACAGGGATTAACGGTTACAGTACATTTACTACTGGTGACAAATGTAATGGGGATTTGATTAAAAAAATAAAATAATCAAAGAGCAAACAATTCACATGAAACAATGAACCCGCAAGAATTGTCGGGAGGCAGCCGAGTGGATTCTGGAGAGCTGAGCCCATTCATTCTGGAGAGACGCCTGTAGGTTATTTTCACCACACACCCCTCCCCTTCTTTCAACATTTTAAATTATACTCGCCAAGACATTATCTTCACACACATTTTAGATGCTTTTCACTGACAGCCGCAACTCAATAATCAGCTAGGCATTTTGCCACTGTGCTGCCTAGTGAGACTTCCTCATATGCCATTTCTCCTGTTTTATTGGTTTTCATATGAATTTTCTTTCGTTGTCCAGAAGCCAAATGCACAATCCTAGTCATATTAGAAACCCATCATCCTAGTTGTTGCATCTTTTAGATTAACCTCAGAAACTTAGAAATAGGGTGTTCATCGCTGTCATATACCGCTCGCATCAGGTGCTCCGTTTAGAATGGTGTTTTCCTGCGAATTGCATTTTGGCAAATGTTTGTATTACTTTTTATTGGCTGCTTCATTACAGGAGTTGCATGTTTTTAAAGGTGAATTACCATAAATGTGATTTCTGTCATTCTGAGCACCGTGGGTGGATGCCCTAATGAGTAACACACCCAATGCATACATGTCTGGTACATTTCTCAAATGGCCGGTAAATTGAAATCTTTGGTATAGAGTATTGTTCCAGCCCTACTCTAACATACCAGATTCTACAAATCAGCTGCTCAACAGGACCTTGTTAAGCTGACTTGGGTGTGTTTGAGCAGTGCTGGATCAAAAGCCTGCACACCCAGTGACCTAGCTCTCCAGATGGAGAGTTGACCATGTGTTTTATACAGTATCAGTGCTCTATTTGACTTTAAGGCATTTTATGGTATTGAGTATCATTATACTAAGCTGGTATTGGTATGAAGCCACAATTCTGAACGCTGTGTTTGTGATTTAGCTAATGATTAGCCCATTGGGTTAACCTAAACAAATGCAAATGGGGAAGCCAACCCCATGCTTCAGAAATCTATAGCCAAGCCACTATGCTACTACGTCCGTTAGGCTACAGAAGAATGCTCATTGCAGGCGATAGCCTTTGAATGAACCAGCCCTAAAAATACTTATTTTTGCCAACATTAACTCCTTTCTGGAGTGGAATCTTAGCAGGGGTGTGGTGCGCGCAGACCTCAAAATTGGTATTAAATTGCATTTCTAGTGGCATTAAAAAGTATTCTATTCAACTTAATGTTATTGCCCAACCGTGAAGAGGATTATGTATGTTGCTGGTTTTGTCAGTTTGACAATGAGGCCTCTAATCTTTTGTAACAACAAACAAGAAAGTTGTGTTCTTCTTTTCTAGCAGAGGAGCATGTTACTATTCCCCAGAGCTTTGTTCTGATGTCTCTTCTCTCTTCCACTCTCACTGTGTGTCTCGGGGCGGTTGAGTTGTAAGCAGAAAGACAAATGTTTGTGTAACGTGGGACAAAGTGAATTACTACTACTAGATAAAAGACTAAGTTATCTTGTCCTTCCCTTTCTCCCTATAGGCCAGTAAGCATCTGGAGAACGGAGAGATCAGCCACGAGGACTTCCTGAATGTGGCCCACAAGATCAAGCAGCTGTTCCAGTACCAGGAAGAGAAGCAGAGAGGAGGAGACTCCTGGGAGGGCTCCAGCGAGGATGGCCACGGACACACCCACCCACTCCACCTCCCACCAACCAGGAAGAAGCCCCTGCTGGCCACGCCCACGGGGGGAGTGTCCTCTGGGGCGGACTTGTCCGACGCAGAGCTCACCTACTACGAACACAAGTCCAAGCTGAGGAGGACCCAGGTGATGTGGCAGCAGGATCAAGGAGGGGAGGGCTGGGACGGAGAGGACAGCCAGGAGGAGGGAGAGGGGGTGCTGGGGAGGCCCGGGGAGGGCCCTGGGGGGGCCAAGGCTGAGGTTAGCAGGGAAACTAACGCCCTCCCTTCAGGGATGAAGTTCACCAGGCTTCCTAAGGACAGGCTGAAGGAGGTGGAGGAGGAGCAGCCCACCCCAGCAGCCATCATCCAGGAGTACAGCCACGGGAACGAGTTCCCCAGGCTCAAGCCAGGGCTACGCTTCAGGAGGAGACAAGACCCCAGGGAGTCCACCGCCACCGACAGACTCAAAGGCAAGTGGAGTTTCAGTTTCATGTCTAATGATGGGCAACATTTTTGGTTACGTTTTGTTATATGGACACATGGTTGGACACCCAAGCCAAGGGAATATTATGAATCAGAAGTATGTCTGTAAATGCAGTGTTTTATTACTATCCGGTGATTGATGGTTCCTGTTCTCATTTAGTAATTGTTTATATTTCTCAGCAGGTGAACGAGAGCGGAACTCCCCCCTCAGCGAGCGGCTGCCCAATCACAGACCACCGTATGACGAGAGGGAGGAGCCTAAGAGCGGCTACAACGCCCCTCCCAGGCGGTATGGAGGAGTACCGCTGTCTGAAGACCACTCTGTCAAACCTCCGTACTCCCGTTACGACGACCCTCGCAAACACGAACGCATCCCCCCCAAACCCCCCGCCGGCCCGGTGCTCCAGAACTCAGTCAGCCTGGCACTGGATGGCCCCATTAGGAAGTCCCCAGTCCCTATACCGGTACCGGCATACGAGCGGGAGCGCCTGTCCCCATTACAGCAGATGGACACGGCGGAGATGAGCCCTGTTCCGCGCTTTGAGAGCCCCAACAGCGAGCACTCGTGTGACGACGGGCCCCTGGACACCCCCCCTCTTCCCAGACCCCACCACCCAGGAGGACCCCCCCGCGGACCAATGCTCTCCTCCATACGCAGCAAACACGTCGACTCTCCAGGACACACCCCTCCTCACACCGCAGATGGGCCCCAGAGATACGACGGTGGTCCCAAAGGAGGACCCCCTTCGCCACGCTACGATGGACCCCACAAGGGCACTCAGTCTGGGTACGACGGTCCTGGTCACATAGGTCAGCCTGGCAGGCCCCATCCTGGGGGCCGTTACGAGGGCATCCAGGGGCCCGGTAGGTACGATGGAGCAGGGTGCTCCTCCCACGGCCCATCAAGGTATGACGGGTCCTACCCTCAGGGCCCTGGCAGGTTCGATGGCCCCCCTATACATAAAGGACCAGAGAAGTTTGACGGACCAGGAAGATACGACGGCCCCGCCGTGCCTCACGTTCCAATGAGAGGAGGGGACCCACAAGGCATTGGGGGAAGGTTTGACGGCGGCCCGCCGCCTCAGCAGCAAGGTAGGCCATCGGGGCGATATGACGGTAGGTTTGACGGACAGGGTCCTGGGCCAATGCGTTTCGACGGCCCAATGCAGTCCAACCGCTTCGACGGTCCAATGAACTTCAACAACTCCCACATGCAGGCCGGCCCTGGAAGGTTCGAAGGACTAATGAGGTTCCCGCAAGGCCCCATGAGATTCGACGGCGCTCCCAACCAGCCAGGCCAGATGCGTTTCGATGGCCCAGTGAACCCCTCCACCCCAATGGGCCAGCCCGGCCCCATGCGCTACGACCCCCTGCCCTCTCTGCCCCCCCAGGGCATGCCCCCACGCTTTGACTGCCCCTCTGGCCAGCAGGCCTCCCCCAGGTACCACGCCACTCCCAACCTGCAGCCCCCACTGCGGCCACTAGGGACACCCATGTACGACCCAGCCAATCCCGGAGGCCCCCAGCAGTTCCAGCCGTTCCCAGTGCAACCGAACGTGGTGGGCCAACAGGGGGCTAACTTCACGGTGTCTCCCGTCCCTGGGTCCCAGGCTGGGTTCAACAACTCCTACGTCAGACCTCCGTTCTACACCCCTGGTGTGCCTCTGCCACCGGCAGGGAACATTCAACAGCCGGTGAGAACCTCTTCTTGATTTAGGACATAGGGGTTGTATGTAGTTATGTTCTTGAATTATTGTCTTTGATGTTGTGTAAATGTATGAAAGTGTATTCTTATTTTAAATGCACTACCAGTCAAACGTTTGGACACCTACTCATTCAAGGGTTTTTCTTTATGTTTACTATTTTTTACATTGTAGAATAATAGTGAAGACATCAAAACTATGAAATAACACGTATGAAATCATGTAGTAACCCAAAAAGTTTTAAACAAATCAAAATGTTATATTTGAGATTCTTCAAATAGCCACCCTTTGCCTTGATGACAGCTTTGCACAAACTAGTGCATCAGATGGGGCTTCACCAAAGTCCTTCACCCCCCCCAGCTGATATAGATTGAGCTAAAATATTTTGTTCTATGTTAGTCACCACCCACAGTGGGTTATCTTCACGGTGAAGTGTAACTTGGTGGAGCAGTTCATAAAAATGGAGTCACACCGGGGTGGAGCCAGTCATTTAATGAACAGAACAATTCATCGGATGGAGAGTTTTCATCCCAGCTAAAGCTTCAACTATAGTTTTCACCTCAGCAATCTTGAATCTCTTGAACTTCATCATATGGAGCACGACCAAAGTCCTTACTCTACTGAGGCTTTGCTTACAATTACTTTCTCTAAGCAGGCCCTGATATCCAAGTGCCAAACGAACAGCTTATATTTAACTCAAACGCCAGATGTGCTTGGGAGGTAGAGGACTGTATACAAGCTATTTAGGTCAGTTGAAGGCTAAATGTCTGTTTTGTCTTTGTTCCAGATGAACATGCTTCCTAACCTTGGCCAGCCCTTCATCCCTCCCAGCACAGTGCCTTTCAACCAGCCTGGTAAGATCATGTTCACTGTTTATTTCATCAAGATCTACTTTCTGTTCTCAATGTTGCTGTTCAATAAAGGGCTCTTTATTTCATGTTACAGCATTGTGAGAATAGTATCATGACAGTCTGTTTCATCCTCTGCCTTTTTGAAGTGATTCATCTTGATTAGTTGATTAGAAATCTGTGAGATGTCTGGATGACTTAAAAATAAAAAATAAACATGTTGGACATTCTCAATGTAAATAGTATTTTAGTCCGGGAGTGCTTAATCTGGGTCTGTGAAACTGGCCTTCTGAGATCAGATGAATCGCATGTCCAGTATGAGTACCTATTGCTGTAAATCAATCGCTGGGTAAGGAACAAATCAAGTTTGTCATGTACATCATACAGTGTAGTGTACACACTACAATTAACTGCTTACTTGTACCTGTAGCTCAGTTGGTAGAGCATGGCGCTTGCATCGCCAGGGTTGTGGGTTCGATTCCCACAGGGGGCCAGTATGGAAATGTATGCACTCACTAACTGTAAGTCGCTCTGGATAAGAGCGTCTGCTAAAATGACTAAAATGTACTTGCAAACTCTCCTCTCAAACAGTGTAACCGATCTAAAATATTCAATGACAATAAAGAGAGAAAAACACAATACAAGTTTTGGTAATTGCTTGAAAAGTTGATTGATGCCAATTGATTTCTGTTTTGTCATTCTTCCCCAGCTCCCCAGTTCCCCCCTCCAGAGAGTCACTTTGGGCAGGTAGATGTGAACGACCTGCTGTCCAAGCTTATTTCTACCGGCATCATCTCTACCGGAGGCATCAAACCAGCTCAGAGTACAGACACTGCTGTGGCACCCAGCGGTACAGAGTCAGCCGCCACCCCACCTGCCCCTCCCGTGGTAGAAGAGGAGGAAGAGGAAGAACAGGAGGAGGATGAGAATATCCCAGACCTCACCGGCTTCCTAATCGAAGACATGAAACAGTACGTTTGTTCAAATGCACCATGCTGGTCTGATTATGAACAGATTCATGGTAAATCTACCATTGAAATCAATGACTGTTTCCATCTAGTTATTTATGCATGAGAATTCTCAAGTTATGCATTGGCCAGTGGACCCTGTGAGTAAGATAAAATAATAATAATAAAAAAATGTATGGTCAACATGTGTTCATAAAATTGTGATGTATTTGTCTTTATATGTAAAATATATGAGTATTACCCACTGGTTCTGTTTGTCCCTCTCCCCAGGCGGTATGACAGCGTGGTGACTAAGCTGTACACAGGGATCCAGTGTTACTCCTGCGGCATGCGTTTCACCGCCTCTCAGACAGACGTCTACGCTGACCACCTGGACTGGCACTACCGTCTGAACCGTTCCGAGAAAGACATCAGCAAGAAGGTCACCCACCGCCGCTGGTACTACAGCCTCACGGTAAGGGAGAGCGAGACACACACACACACACTCCCACCTTGTATCTGACCCACCACAGCTAGAACTACAACCTCATTGTAAAACAATTACCTCCTACCCCAATATAAACAATACCAGCTCACACTCACTTTTTTTACAATGAGAATCATTAGTTATCGCCCTGTAATACAAAGCTGATCATGTTTTATCAAATGATTTCTAACCCTTGCCCCTCATCTGTCTCTTTCCCCGTCCTCAGGACTGGATAGAGTTTGAGGAGATAGCGGACCTGGAGGAGCGGGCCAAGAGCCTGTTCTTTGAGAAGGTGAATGAGGAGGTGGTGCAGAAGACCCAGGAGGCAGCCAAGGAGAAGGAGTTCCAGAGTGTTAAAGCAGCTGCAGATGTGGTGGATGAGGTGGGTAGCAACATACACTACATGACCAAAAGTATGTGGACACCTGCTCATCTAACATCTCATTCCAAAATCATGGGCATTAATAAGGAGTTGGTCCCCCCTTTGCTGCTATAACAGCCTCCACTCTTCTGGGAAGGCTTTCCACTAGATGTTGGAACATTGCTGCGGGGACTTGCTTCCATTCAGCCGCAAGAGCGTTAGTGAGGTCGGGCACTGATGTTGGGCGATTAGGCCTGGCTCGCAGTCAGCGTTCCAATTCATCCCAAAGCTGTTCGATGGGGTTGAGGTCAGGGCTCTGTGCAAGCCAGTCAAGTTCTTCCACACCGATCTCGACAAACCATTTCTGTATGGACCTCGCTTTGTGCACGGGGGCATCGTCATGCTGGAACAAGAAAGGACCTTCCCCAAACTGTTGCCACAAAGTTGGAAGCACAGAATCGTCTAGAATGTCATTGTATGCTGTAGCGTTAAGATTTCCCTTCACTGGAATTAAGGGGCCTAGCCGGAACCATGAAAAACATAGGGCCGGCGCACAATTGGCCCAGCGTCATCCAGGTTAGGGGAGGGTTTGGCCTGGGGGGGATCTCCTTGACTCATCGTGCTCTAGCAACTTCATGTGGCATGCCGGGCGCCTGCAAGTTTCACTGGAACTAAGAGGCCTAGCCCGGACCATGGAAAACAGCCCCAGACCATTATTCCTCCTCCCTACGTGCTTCAGCACTCGGCGGTCCCGTTCTGTGAGCTTGTGTGGCCTATCACACGTCGCGGCTGAGCCGTTGTTGATCCTAGACATTTCCACTTCACAATAACAGCGCTTACAGTTGACCGGGGCAGCTCTAGCAGGGCAGAAATTTGATGAACTGACTTGTTGGAAAGGTGGCCGGTGCCACGTTGAAAGTCACTGAGCTCTTCATTAAGGCCATTCTACTGCCGATGTTTGTCTATAGAGATTGTATGGCTGTGTGCTCTATTTTATATACCTGTCAGCAACGGGTGTGGCTGAAATGGCCGAATCCACTAATTTGAAGGGGTGTCCACATACTTTTGTATATATAATGCATATGGCTCACTTACAGGGCTACAATCAGGGGTGTATTCTTTACGCCGATTCTGTTGCAAAGCATTTCTTAAATGGAAGCAAACGAAACCAGGAGGGACATACTTGAATTTGTCCAATATAAACTCTTGTTTTCGTTGCACAATGCAACTGTTTGATATCTGGTTACATCCCAGATATCACACAGGCCCCCTCTTAGGGCTACAACTGACTGTTTTCATTGGCTTGTACTAGTCTTGACCCAAACGCCGCTCAAATTTTATTGGCTCTTTGTTTTGTTGCTGTTTTTACCATTCTAGAAGTTAAAACTAAAGCTTCAACTGTGATGAATTTATAGTTAAAGTTGATTGAGCCTCCATTCTTGGCATGCATGCTGTTCCTTTGTACTCGTGTGTGTATGTATGTTATGGAGAGAGAACAAGTCCAGTGCTATGGCTTCGGCGCCAGAATGTTCCCTGTCTTCTGGTTCTGTCCTCAGTAGCTGGGGCATTCTCGTATCATGCTGCTGTAGCCTCTATATTGCCATGTTATTTTGATGATAGACACTGCACGTTGTCAGAATGTTGTAAGATTCTAACTGTTGTTTCCCCCTCGTCTGTGTGTAGACGTGTGAGATCTGCCAGGAGCAGTTTGAGATGTACTGGGAGGAGGAGGAAGAGGAGTGGCACCTGAGAGATGCCATCAGAGTCGACGAGAAGGTGAGTGTTCACTACAAAGATCACTCGTAGCACGAGCCTGCTGTTAGCAAAATCATCCTCTTTGTAAAGGAAATACTAATCAAATGTCATGTTTTTGTTTTAATCTTTTTCCACAGACATATCATCCTTCATGTTTTGAAGATTACAAAAATGTAAGTAACCGATTAGTCAATTGATCTGTTTTTTTTGTTTGTTTGGTCTGTGAAATTAAGTGTTCGAAATATTTATATGCTGCTTTAACTGATCATTTCGCTTCCTCCACTTGTCATTCGCCTCTCATCGCTCCAGACATCTTCGTTCCTGGACGTCACCCCGTCCCCCATTAAGCTGCTGATGGAGAACCCGCTGGGTGCGTTCATAAAGCGTGAGGCCAACGAGAACGATGAGGTCACTTCCTGCTGTGCTGTGGTGAAACAGGAAGTGGAGGCTTCGTTGTCTGAGACGGGCGGTGAGGCTCAAAATGTGAAGGATGAGGTTCAGGTGAAGATGGAGGGAGAAACGAGTGCAATTTCCTAAAAAACAAAAGAAAAACCATACTGCTTTTTCTTTTCCTCTTTTACGGGCTGCTCTCCCTCCATTCCTCCCTTTGTTTTGTAAGGAAGAGGTATTTTTTTATATTTGACCACCTCTGAGGCAGGGCCCTCAGCCATAACTTTGAATACATTTTTGTATTTGGAATCTGCCTGTGAATGTCAGGTGTTTTTTTGCTGTGTAAATGAATGAATGATGAATGCCTGAACTTAAACATTTTACCTTTGCAAAAATATGTACTTTTGGGGAAAATATGTATGTAAAAGATTTAATTTATAAATAAAGCTATTTTTGGTATTCTTTTGTTGTAATATTGATAAAAGGGGGTGTGACTTAAGAATCCCAGAAGGTTGCTTTGATGCGTTTGTCCTTTCCTCCCAAGTAAAAATAATTTGTGTGTGTATATAAATAGATTTTGGTTGCAATTGAGGCAAGGAATTGCTGGAGAGAATTAATGAATGACTAATTTGGCTTCTGAATTAGCCTTAATAGTGAATTAATTTCAAAAGAAGCAGTCGATGGTTAGTTTACAAAAGGTAAGGAGGAATAATTTTCCGACCATCTCTACACTGCTGTGTACATACGGCATGACATGTCTAGCAACTGACATTTCTACACAATTCTGTGATCCTGCTTTCTAATCGCATTCAGTTGGAATTATTATTATTATTTTTTACATTATTTGCAGGGTTTCTTTTTTGCAGAGGTTTGAGAGGAAAAAAAATGAAATTTTGCTTGGTAATATGGAATATTCAATAAAATCAAATCTGAAAATGTGTTTGTGTGAACAGTGATTGGTGTGGCTTTCTGTATTGCTTCTCCCTGGTTTCCCCTACCCCTTTTAGAAAGTTTGCTTTTTAATTTGTCACCTTGGCTTGAATTCTAAATAAAGTTCTCTAGAATTAAAGTAGTTTGTCTTGTCTTTTATTTCCTGTGATTATAGATAATTGTATTTCAAATCTAATTTTATTGGTCGCTTACACATTTGCAGCTGCTTATGTACCTAGCTCCAAGTGCATTAATACCTAACAAAACAATACACTCAAATAGAAATATTAGTGTCTGGAATATAAATAAAATGTTATTTGTCACGTGCGCCGAATACAACAGCCTTACAGTGAAATGCTTACTTACAAGCCCTTAACCAACAATGCAGTTAAGAAAATTAAGTGTTAAAGTATTTACTAAAACAAACTGAAGTAAAAAATAAAAGGGAGAAACTAGAAAAATAACAATTTAAAGAGCAACAATAAAATAACAGTAGTGAGGCTATATACAGGGGTTACCGGTACAGAGTCAATTTGCGGGGGCACAGGTTAACTGAGGTAATATGTACATGTAGGTAGAGGTAAAGTGACTGCATAGATAAAGAGTTGCAGCAGTGTAAAATAGGATTGTTCAGGAGTCTTATGGCTTGGGGGTAGAAGCTGTTAAGAAGCCTTTTGGAACAAGACTTGGCACTCCGGTACCGCTTGCCGTGCGGTAGCAGAGAGAACATTCTATGACTAGGGTGGCTGCAGTCTTTGACAATTTTTAGGGCCTAACTCTGACACTGCCTGGTATAGAGGTCCTGGATGGCAGGAAGCTTGGCCCCAGTGATGTACTGGGCCGTATGCACTACCCTCTGTAGTGCCTTGCGGTCGGAGGCCGAGCAGTTGCCATACCAGGCGGTGATGGTGCAGCTGTATAACTTTTTGAGGATCTGGGGACCCATGCCAAATCTTTCCAGTCTCCTGAGGGGGAATAGGCTTTGTCGCACCCTCTTCACGACTGTCTTGGTGTGTTTGGACCATGATAGTTTGTTGGTGATGTGGACACCAAGGAACTTGAAGCTCTCAACCTGCTCCACTACAGCCCCGTCGATGAGAACGGGGGCGTGCTCGGTCCTCCTTTTCTTGTAGTCCACAATCAGCTCCTTTTGTCTTGATCACGTTGAGGGAGAGGTTGTTATCCTGGCACCACACGGCCAGGTCTCTGACCTCCTCCCTATAGGCTGTCTCGTCGGTGATCAGGCCTACCACTGATGTGTCGTTGGCAAACTTAATGATGGTGTTGGAGTCATGCTTGGCCATGCAGTCATGGGTGAACAGGGAGTACAGGAGGGGACTGAGCACGCAGCCCTGAGGGGCCCCCGTGTTGAGGATGAGCGTGGCAGATGTGTTGTTACCTACCCTTACCACCTGGGGGCGGCCCGTCAGGAAGTCCAGGATACAGTTGCAGAGGGAGGTGTTTAGTCCCAGGGTCCTTAGCTCAGTGCTGAGCTTTGAGGGCGCTATGGTGTTGAACGCTGAGCTGTAGTCAATGAACAGCATTCTCACGTAGGTGTTCCTTTTGTCCAAGTGGGAAAGGCCAGTGTGGAGTGCAATAGAGATTGCATCATCTGTGGATCTGTTGGGGCAGTATTCAAATTGGAGTGGGTCTAGAGTTTCTGGGATAATGGTGTTGATGTGAGCCATGACCAGCCTTTCAAAGCACCTCATGGCTACAGACGTGTGTGCTACGGGTCGGTAGTCATTTAGGCAGGTTACCTTAGTAACTGGAAGGCCCTTGGACACAGGGACTATGGTGGTCTGGCTTGAAACATGTTGGTATTACAGACTCAGTCAGGGACTGGTTGAAAATGTCAGTGAAGACACTTGCCAGTTGGTCAGCGCATGCTCAGAGAACACGTCCTGGTAATCCGTCTGGCCCTGTGGCCTTGTGAATGTTGACCTGTTTAAAGGTCTAACTCACATCGGCTACGGAGAGCGTGATCACACAGTCGTCCGGAACAGCTGATGCTCTCATGCGTGCTTCAGTGTTGCTTGCCTCGAAGCGAGCATAGAAGTAATTTAGCTCATCTGGTAAGCTTGTGTCACTGGGCAGCTCGCGACTGTGCTTCCCTTTGTAGTCCGTAATAGTTTGCAAGCCCTGCCACATCCGACGAGCGTCGGAGCCGGTGTAGTAGGATTAAATCTTAGTCCTGTATTGACGCTTTGCCTGTTTGAGGGTTCGTCGGAGGGCATAACTGGATTTCTTGTGTAAGTGTACGGATTAGAGTCCTGCTCCTTGAAAGCGGCAGCTCTACCCTTTAGCTCAGTGCGGATGTTGCCTGTAATCATTTACATTTACATTTACGTCATTTAGCAGACGCTCTTATCCAGAGCGACTTACAAATAGGTGCATTCACCTTATAGCCAGTGGGATAACCACTTTACAATGTTTTTTTTCTTCTTCTTTTTTTTGGGGGGGTAGAAGGATTACTTTATCCTATCCTAGGTATTCCTTAAAGAGGTGGGGTTTCAAATGTCTCCGGAAGGTGGTGAGTGACCCGCTGTCCTGGCGTCGTGAGGGAGCTTGTTCCACCATTGGGGTGCCAGAGCAGTGAACAGTTTTGACTGGGCTGAGCGGGTCTGGTTGGGGTATGTATGTATGGTCCACTGTGGGGACGAGGTCAACGATGCACTTATTGATGAAGCCAGTGACTGATGTGGTGTACTTCTCAATGCCATTGGAAGAATCCCGGAACATATTCCAGTCTGTGCTAGCAAAACAGTCCTGTAGCTTAGCATCTGCGTCATCTGACCACTTCCGTATTGAGCGAGTCACTGGTACTTGCTTTAGTTTTTGCTTGTAAGCAGGAATCAGGAGGATATAATTATGTTCAGCTTTGCCAAATGGAGGGCGAGGGAGAGCTTTGTATGCATCTCTGTGTGTGGAGTAAAGGTGGTCTAGAGTTGTTTTCCCTCTGGTTGCACATGTAACATGCTGATAGAAATGAGGTAAAACGGATTTAAGTTTCCCTGCATTAAACTCCCCGGCCACTAGGAGCACGCCTCTGGATGAGCATTTTCTTGTTTGCTTATACAGCTCGTTGAGTGTGGTCTTAGTGCCAGCATCGGTTTGTGGTGGTAAATAGACGGCTATGAAAAATATAGATGAAATCTCTCTTGGTAAATAGTGTGGTCTACAGCTTATCATGAGATCCTCTACCTCAGGCGAGCAAAACCTCGAGATTTCCTTGATATTGGATTTCGTGCACCAGCTGTTATTTACAAATATACACAGACCGCCACCCCTGGTCTTACCGGAGGCAGCTGTTCTAGCTTGCCGATGCTCCGAAAATCCCGCCAGCTGTATGTTATCCATGTCGTCGTTCAACCACGACTCGGTGAAACATAAGATATTACAGTTTTTAATGTCCCAATGGTAGGATAGTCTTGATTGGAGCTCATCCAATTTATTCTCCAATGATTGTACAGGACTGATGGTAGAGGCGGATTACCCACTCGCCATCAGATCCTTACAAGGCACCCCGACCTACGTCCCCGATATCTCCGTCTCTTCTTCATGCGAATGATGGGGATTTGGGCCTTGTCGGGTGTCTGAAGTATATCCTTCGCGTCCGACTCGTTAAAGAAAAAAACTTTGTCCAGTACGAGGTGAGTAATCGCTGTTCTGATATCCAGAAGCTCTTTTCCGTCATAAGAGACGGTGGCAGAAACATTATGTACAAAATAAGTTAAAAATAACGCGAAAAACACACACAATACCACAATTGGTTAGGAGCCCGTAAAACGGCAGCCATCTCTTCCTATATGATGGTGTGTATGGACAGTATATTAATAGAAAATATGTGCACAGCAGTAGTTCTATGCAGACGGGAGGAGCCGAGATGTGGGCTATGTAGGAAAGAGCATTATGAAGGAGATTGTTTGGCAGAAGAATGGACAATGAGAAAAATGTAACTGGTGGAGATCATGAAGCGAAATCCGTTGATTTCACATCCGAGGAGCTACATAAAGTTCTGTCTTGTGCGGTCCCACCTTCGCAGGCCCCAGAGCCTGTGTAGGGAGTTACAGAGTTTTTGAATGACTGAAGGAGTGGGATTTTTTAGTATTTTAAAATATGTGTGGATTCATGTTTTTTTCCTTTCTCCATAATGGAATTTACCTTTTTTGAAAATGTTTCCACCCCATCCAGTTGGTGGCGGCATTACAACAATA